GGTAAAAGCAGTAGCCCCGACAGTCTGCTCCCAATTATCTGCCTGTGGCTTCTCTGAGGTGGGATAACTGCTGCTGAGGGGGCGGGACTGGGGACAGAGGGGAAGTGGGGACAGGGGTGGGGATTGCGAGGGGGCCCAGGCTCGCAGGGGGCAGAGGTGGGAGAAACCAGGACACGTTATCTGTGGCCGCGTAACAAACATGCAGTGGCTTCAAACATGAAGATGAAAAACATGTATTTCCAGTCCTCATGGTTTCTGTGGGCCCACCAGACTCACTGGGCAGCACTCGCCTGGGGTCTCCCATGTCCGTGGCATTCGGGTGGCAGCAGGGGCTGGAGGCATCAGAAGCCTTGACTAGCCTGGGCGTCCTAAAGCACTCGGTGCCGGTGTCTGGCGCCCAGGCCCAGATGGCGGGAACAGCTGGGGGATGGCGGCCACACCTTCTCACTGTGCGGCGAGCCTGGCTCCTTCCCTCCGCGGTGGTCTCACAGTAGTGGACTTCTTACACCGTGGCAAATATTTCAGATCGTGTGTTTCCAGCGTCTAAGACAGAGCTGCAAAGCTTTCTTTGACCTGCCTCACAAGTCAAACAGTGTTACTTCCACTGTACTCTAATGATTAAAAGGGCCTGCCAAGATCCAGGGCCAGAGAGACTACACAAGGGTGTGAATTCTGGGAGGCGAGGTTCATGGGGGGCCATGTTGGGGGAACTGGCAGCCACAGTGTCGAGCTGTGGGGCTGGGGCTGGGGTGGGACAACACCAGCTGGGGGTGGGGGGGGGGGGATGTCCGTCAGCCCAGCTCCCAGGCAGAGCAGAAGCAGAAGTGACAAGGACAGCTCACTGGTACCAATGACACCCTCTAAACCTCAGAGGGTAGGGCTGTGTGGGACAAAGAAGCAAGACACCTGGATCCTTGTCCTGGCTCTGACATTCTCTGGCTGTGTGTCTTTGGGCAAGTCCCCAGACCTCTTTGGGCACTGGTTTCCTCACATTAAAATTAAGGTAATTGGATAAAAGTCACTCGAAGTTTCCTCTCGCCTCTGAGCTAAGAAATAGAGCATGTTACATGGGCTCATCACAGAGCTCAAGACTCTCACAAGAGGCAAGGAGACAAGCGTCCCAGGGCCATCCTCAGACCAGGCATGAAAGTTAGAGGCGCCAAGTCACCGGTCACCCAACTTCCCACCTTCCTGCAGCAATCCTTGTGGCTAATTGATACGTCCAGCTCAGGGCACCCACACTTCCTTTCCTGACATCATGTGTGTGCTTGTGTGTCTATGTACACGTGTGTGTTCTTGTGAATGCATGTGCTTGGGAGGGTGTAAATGTCAGGCAAGTGTCCCACTACATGTTGTTTCTGCTCCAGGGAAGACTGCCAAATGGGTAGTTTATACTGGAAACAGCCTGGAATATCTCACTATTTATATGACTATGTGTTGTATGGCTTTTTAATTTAGCCCTCATTCCAAATGCATGACACGTCCTTTTGACACCTTGAAGAAATGTTTCTCAGATGGCAGGCTGGGCACAGCAGCTCCAGGCAGCTCCAGGAAAACACACAGCCCTGAAAATGAAAAGTGATTGAGGTCCTCTTAGGAAATGCCTTGCTTCGGGCTACTTGATGTGGTCATTTATTAAGTGACTTAATCAGGAAAGTAAGGCAATCTCGGCGCAATTAAGTCCCTTTCTGGGCTCGCCTGGGTCCTCCCGATTAGGAGGCGGGTAATGCGCTCATAATGGGACGATCAGAAGAGAATGGCTTCCCAGGGCTGAGGAATGGTTAGCTGCTCAGCCAGGGGAACTCGCTTGCTGAGAAATGTACTTTAAACCACTGACTCCGGGGACACTTCCCTCGGATTGAATTCAAGCAGTTTCTAACATGGTTTTACTTGCCCTGCAGTGGAACGAGTTAAGGTTATAGAGTCAGAGCCCATCGGAGTGTAAAGAATCTCAGAGGTCTCTGAGCCCAAGCTTGTCATCTCTCTGCCAAGGAAACAGACTCTAGTGCCCAAGGCTACACACCTTGTCTTTGCAGATCTGGGGCCAGGTGCTTGGCTAAACCACAGGGGAAAGAGACTGGGAGGCTCTGCTGGGATAGTGAGGGGACATGCTGGACCCTCCGAATAACCAGAGGTGGCACCAACAATGAGCAGGGACAAGTGGACTCGCTATCCCAGGAGCAGCACCCTGTGCCAAGTGTGAGTGGCGAGGTGAATCTCAGTGAAAGAATTTGTTCAAAAATATTTATTGAGGCCGACTCTGTCCCAGGAACTATGCTGGACACCAGGAACACAGCAAAGAACACTATCCCGGCCCCGGGAGGGAGCTTCCACGGAGAGGTGTGAGGAGGAAGGCACAGTGGATGGATAAATGAATGGGTGGGAAATGAATGGGTGGATGGATGGAAAATAAGTGAATAGATGGATGGATGGTTGCCACACTTAGAAAAATAGGAGAGCAATAATTCAGGAATAAGTTAGGGCCTGGACTCAGAAATCTGAAATCCTACCCTCCCTGCAAGCTTGCAACACAGCCAGAATCATTTCTCCTGTTCAAAACAACTTTATTGCCCAGCCAGTGTTGCTCAGTGGTTGAATGTCAACCTATGAACCAGGCAGTCATGGTTTGATTCCCCGGTCAGGGCATATGCTAGGGTTGCAGGCTTGATCCCCAGTATGGGATGCACAGGAGGCAGCCAATCAATAATTCTCTCTCATCAATGTTTCTTTCTCTCTCCCTCTCCTTTCCTCTCTGAAATCAACTAAACACACACACACACACACACACACACACACAACACACACACCACACACACAAACTTGCCCTAGCCCAGCCGTTGGCTGCCCTAGCCGGTTTGGTTCAGTGGATAGAGCGTCGGCCTGCAGACTGAAGGGTCCCGGGTTTAATCCGGTCAAGGGCACATGCCTGGGTTGCGGGCTCAGTCCGATGTGCAGGAAGCAGCCAATCAATGATTCCCTCTCATCATTGATGTTTCTATCTCTCTCTTCCTCCCCCTTCCTCTCTGAAATCAATAAAAATATTTTTAAAAAGACTTTATTGGAAGTCCTCCGTCATCTATACCCCACCTCCCGTAGCTGATGCTGCTCCAGCATTTGCCTTTTACTTCACTCCTGGTTACGCTCATCAGTGCTCCCACCACCACTAAAACCCCTACTGCTCCTGCTCTCAGGTTGATCCCATTCTTAGAATGCCCTCCCCTCTCCCTCCATCCAGCTCCCCTGCTCACTCCAGGCCTCCCTCTGGGCCTGCCTGTGACACAGCCGAAGCTCCTCTGGGAGATGTGCTGTATCTGATGAGCCAGACTCCCCCATCCTCATTAATCCCTCCCTCAGCTAAACTGTCAGGTCAACAGGGACAGGAACTGTCTTCCCTTCAAGCTCCCACAGACTGGAACATGATCAACAGAGACTTTAGTAATAACAGGCTCTGGACAAAGTAAATGGAAGAGGACCCCAGAACAAGTGTCTGGCTTGGGCTTTCCCTAGGAAACTCTGAAACCCAGGCTTTCCTCCTAGAACTTGCTTCATACAGCACCCCCTCCACCCCCTACTGTGCTTCTTTTTTCACTCAGAATCAGACTTGGGATGAGGCCTAGCATGCTGGGCAGAGAGTGGGGAGGGGCCTCTTGGGCAGTTTTACAACAAAAACTACTCTTCTGAGCTGGTCAGTGACTCAGCATCTTGGATCCCAAATGAAAAAAAAAAAAGAAGGTGTTTGCATCCTGGCATGCAGGAAGCGCAGAGGGCCCAGCTGACTTTGTGAAGCCACCAAGCCTGGCTCGAATCCGGGCACCTGAAGCCTGACCCGCTCTGCCAACCTCCAGACCAGTCAGGAATGGGGAAAGAGCACCTCCTATTGACGGGCTGGGCCACCCCATTTTATAGATGGGAAAATTGAGGGCTAAACAGATCAAAACCTCTTAAGGGTTCCCCAGATCACTCCTCTTTCTCCCTGATGTCTGGCCAGAGCCACTCTGAGCAGGTGGGAGGTGAGGAAGTAACCCTTCTTCAGAACAGCGGCGGCCCGGTCCCGAGGGAAGAGCCTCCAAATGAACATCAGTCTCACAGGGCTCCTTTACCAACTTTTGTACCTTTGGCATCAAGTGAATCCTTCTCAGAATATTCTGATGCATAAAATAAAACGTTCATGACTGCAAAAAAACACCATTATGTTAAAGTTATACAAATAATTTTAAAGCGATATAGTAATATATGTGCTTCTTTATTAACATTTTACATCGCAAGATCTAGCAGTAGGGTCTAATAAATACCATAATTTCAAAGTAATGATGAGCGTAAGTATTTCAAGATGTCTGCATCGAGGCTCATGTGATGTGACAATATCTGTGGTTTCTGCTGGTAGGGAAGGTATAGGTATTGCCCAATACTATGATGGTTTATGCCTACATTCTTTTTTTAAAAATATATTTTATTGATTTTTTACAGAGAGGAAGGGAGAGGGATAGAGAGTTAGAAACATCAATGAGAGAGAAACATCGATCAGCTGCCTCCTGCACACCCCCTACTGGGGATGTGCTTGCAACCAAGGTACATGCCCTTGACTGGAATCGAACTTGGGACCCTTCAGTCCGCAGGCCGATGCTCTATCCACTGAGCCAAACCGGTTGGGGCTATGCCTACATTCTTGAAGGAACTGCTAAATTTCACTTAGAGGTTAGTGCAAATAAAGATGCAATGTTTTCCCCATTCAAGTTCACAGACACTTTGAATGCTGTCCGCTGGAATGCTAACTAAGCATTTTCACAAAGTGACTACTTAATGGTGGGATCTTAGGCAAAAGCCTGACATTCTCCTACCACAAACCTAGTGCCCAGCACTCTTTCAGACACTTGAGAAAATGTGCCCTGAATTGAACCAAATACTTCTCAGCCTTCCCACCATAGCAGGGAGTGGAGATAGTACACTATGCCTGTTCCTACCCCCAGTTCAGACCAGCTCACTCCCGAAAACTCAAAAACTTTTCATAGAGGGGCTTTATTTTCATTTGAATATGTTTGGAAGCAGAGGGAGGTGTTAGATAACAGGCCCTGTGACTACTGAAGGGAGACCTGTGCAGTGGCAGGAAACGTTCAAGAACAGTTCATCCTTATGAAAATATCCTCCCTCTGACACCAGCCAGCTCAGGAGACGTGGGAGGGGGCCGTCGGAAATGAATCTCCATTCCAGAACGAGCCAATTCTTTCAATGAGGTGGTTTCCCTCCTGCCTGGGCCATCGCTGAAATAAAACACCAGTAAGGTGTTGTTGCTCTGGCTTGTCCTTGCATCCAGCTCAGGTTGCCCCTGAGACCTGCCTGGAGGAGGGGCAGAGGCCCTGGCCTTTGCAGCAGTGCTCCGTTGTGCTGGCATCGATTAACTTGCCTGGCATCTGGGCAGTTCTGTGGATTCCTTTTTTTCTTCTGCTCTTGCCAAATCATGGTCAGCGTATCCAACATAAACCGAACAGTTATATTGCTCAGCAATACAGGGTAGTGGTTATATGCCCAGACTCTGCAAGCAGACCTTGGTTCGACTCTCTCCTCTGCCACTTCACCAATTTAACCTCTGTGCACCACAAGCAGCCAGTTCGCCATCTGTAAAATGGGCCCAGTAATAGTATCCTCTTCATAGAGTAGTCACAGCAGTCAAGGAAATCCTGCTTCTGAAGCCCTTTGCTCAGTGTCTGCACATTGTAGGCATTCAATAAAATATAGCCATTATTTATAAATTAATAAAAATCTTATTTTGAACTCCGACTAGTAAAGGTACCATGCTGGGTGCTGGGCCATTTTCATGTTCAAGGACAGACAAGAACTGCAAAGGAGAAATTATTTAATCCAGTTAATTTTGAAAAACTATAGGAAAGGAAAAATATTTGATGTCTGAGGAAACTGACTCCATTGACTAAAGGGAAAAAGTGGTCCCTGCCTTTAATGAGAAGGGAGACCCCTGGTGCTATGGGATGGGGTAGGTGAGTATAAAGGTTATTCCATCCACTCTTGTGCTTGTCAGGCTAGTGGCTGTGAAGGGAGATGAAAGCCCTGTTCTTGACCCCAAAGTGGGGCTAGAGACTCCCAGAAAGCACAGGGCCTCCAGCACTCGGCTGCCCAGCAGCCTTTCCAGCCTGCACCTGTGTACACCACAGATCCCGGGATGAGCTCAGCGCCCGGGGGCAGGATCTGTGAACCCCGCCATTAAACGCCACCTTTTGTGCTCAGGAGCATTTTTTGTAGAGAGGGCTTTCCTCATGTTTCCCATGGGGTCTCAGACCCCCAACGTCAAGAATCACTGCTCTTCAGATTAGCTTCCTCTCATCTTGCATGGTTCTCAGACTACAATGGGAGCACCAGTCCTTTCTCTGCAACCAGACTCATTTACCATCCAGGCGGTCACCTGATGGGGCCAGAATAAATGTGCCCCGGTGGATTCTGTTAGTTCTACATATCTTGACTTTTCCCAGAAATCTCACTCTCTCACTTTGGAGAGCTAGAGGGAAGTAAGTGAAGGCCACAAACCCTAGGAGGCCTTCTCCGGTGTAGCGAAGGGAGGTCCAGAAGGCAGTTCTCAGCTCTGCGCTCATCAGACTTCAGTTTGTCCTAATCCTCCCTGTTGTCCAAAGCCCAGATCAAGACCACCTTTTCCAAGAAGCCATCCTTGCACACCCAGGCACACGATATGTCCTTCCTCTTGACCTCTCTGCCCAGTCATGGTGGAAGGCAGCGGTGTGTGCACTTGTTTTCTTCTGCTTCGCACAGGTTGGTTCTGTTGCCCAACTAGTCTATAAACTTCTAGAGGGCAAAACAGTGTCTTCTCCCCCTGACAGAGCCTAGCACAGAGCTGGACATAGAGGAGAAGCACTTTAATTACTCCTTAGACTGATACTTTAGGAAAATAAGTATCTTTACTTCATTGACCAGACTAGAATGAGACTGAATCGAATTGCTGGTGAGCACTGTCAACACTGATGGGGGTGACATCTGACCTTCTAGGAACTTCTCCGATCATTTTTAAATGAGCTAGAAAACAAAAGATAGTGGAAACTATAGATTCCTTAAGAATGCCCCCATCCCCAGCCATGTGCCAAGTAGTCACAAACTTTATAACACATTTAGCGTACAAAATTTTCCAGTTAAGAATGCTTGCTATTCAGAAGGGGGAAACTCAGTAACTGAATGTATTTACATTTTCTAGTTTCAACTTCTACCCCTCTTACCACTTGAGTTTCCTCCCCCCCCCCCCCCCCGAACACCACCAAATTGTGACTAAATTCTCATAGAGGACTGGTTTGAGGGTGACATAGATATATATGGTACATTGAGGGTGAAATGGTCCCCATGACTTCAGGAATTATTTCCTCATGTGAGTATGAATGGGTATATCCATAATTTCCTATGAATATAAGTATATATGCATTTGTGTGTGTCCACGTGTGTATGTGTGGAGACAGGTATTTGCTTATATATACACATTACTTGTGTGTACATGTACATTCCTATTTGATTCTGTGTGCGTGTTCCTCCATCTACCCTTTGAACAAGGACCCTACATTAAAGTCGTGCTGAGGCTACAAAATATATCTCTTAAAATACCATAAGATAAGGCAAAACATTATAGCAGCTGAAGTTCTCCTGCTCATCTCCAAACAGGGACCCAGCCTTCTCACATACATTAGTTCATTTTCTCATCCCCAAATCCTGGGAGCAAGGTGCTTGTTACACCAGCTTTCTATTCTCACTAGACTGGGAAACTGACTCCATAAGATTAAGTGGCTGGCCCTTGCTCACACTGTTACTAAGTGACAGAGGCAGGATTTAGCCCAGATAGCCTGACTCCAACGCCCACACTCTCTCCAAGGCCGCTGTGGATGGTGAACTGCAGAGACCACGGCAGCCTCATGTGCACCAGTTCCTGTCTTTTCACTGCTCCCGACCCTCTGTTCACATAACTGAACATTTTTCCCAAAATGCCTAGCCCAGGTCTGAGCATACAATAGAAGCTTGATAATATCTGTCACCTGGAAACTAAATCTGCCTTTTGCCACTTAAGTCAGGTGCTTTCTGAAATAACAATAATTATATGCAATTACGTAAACACATTACCCCTTCGCATCCTGATGACAGCAACAGCTTTAAATAGTGGGCACCTATAGTGAACCAGATGTTTCATAAACTTTATCTCTAATCCCCAGTGCAACCGTATTCAATTCAATAAGCAATTGTTGCATGCTTATTTTGTGCCAAGCACTGGATTATTGTCTTCAGTTTACAAATGAGCAAAATAAGACTCCAAGATGGAGTGACCTACTAAGGTGGTGGGTCTGAACCCAGGACCCCGGCCTGTTTGATACCAAAGCCCACATCCTCTGTTCCACCCACCCAACCTTCCCCACATGTGAGCAGTTACTGACAATGAACTACAGTAAAATGATTAAAACAAAGATGGCAATTGCCAGAGGGCCGAGCACACACCTGTCATCACAAACCAGAATGCTACCAGAGGACATTTATTTGAGGCTAAAATTGACCCGGTCCCTCCGCAGCAGCCTCATGCGCCTCTTTCCCTGAGCCGTGTGCCCTCCCCAGCAGCGCTGTATCTTGTTTCTACATACTTGATTACAGTGGTCTCACAGCACTGTGCATAAATTAATTAGCACACATTCTTCTATAAGAAACAGCCCCTGGATTTTAGCTTTAATTTACAGAGACAACAAAGTAAAGGATTGGATTTCCAAGTTAAGAACAATCCTGGCTTTTTCCAGGTTTCCTTTAAAGATGCAGAACTTGGTAGCTGCCTTCCAATGGCTGAGTGGGAGTGCCCTCCTGCCCAGGCGTCACCCAAATGCAGAGAGCCAAGAGCAGTCACCAGCCAAGGGGAGGGGGTGTCACTGATGAGTGGGACTGATGCATTGTAATTAATGGTAATAAAAATAGATACTGCAGGAGAGAGAGAAGTGCCAAGCCAGGAATCCCTACTCCCAGATAGAATTTCTCACAGGTAATGGAAAGAAGAAAAAAAAAAAAGTCACTTCTTATAGGAAACCTGATCTACACGTTGCCTACAGAGGATTTTTTGTAAAGTAACTAAGGAAATACAACTAAAAGCAGCAGCCCCACAAAATTAGAATAACTCTATTTAGAAAACTTTCTTTCCTGCACCCCCAGGGAACCTGGTTGGTAGTGTATAGGCAGTGAGACCTGGAATTTCTAAGAGCAGCACATTCGGTCTGTAGCGTCTGTGTAGCCCTGTGGAGGCTCCAGTCCCCAGTACTTCTGGCTGGAGGAAGCCATCACAGGTCTCCGAGACTTCCTCTACAAAGAAGAGGAGGGCAAGAGGGGACTGGGAGGGAAGAACAGGATGCTTGAGAAGAAAGAGGGCCATTCTCCTGTAGGCCTGGTACTTCCCCGGTGTTGCTGTCGGCAAATCCCATTCGTCATTCAGGCGTCCATTCAGACATTTCGCGGGCTCCCAGTGTGTGCAGGGCAGAACCAGAATCTCCAGAGGAGACATGCGAGCGTGAAAAGCCGGTGTCTGTCTCCCAAGGATGGTGTGAGCAGACCCTGGCAAACTGATGCCCTCCAGGCTTCTGTGCGTCTGTCTCAGAGGGAGTGCGCTTCATGGACTCGCCTTAGCTCTGGTGCCCCTCTCTGCCGGTGCGGGGAGTGGTGGTGGTGGGGGGGGGGGTGT